AGCCCCAAGGCTTTGGTGATGAAGCTGTACGACTGGAGGCGCAACCAGGGCCTCCTCAGCTCCGAGCGCCCGGGCGACATCAGCTTGCCGACCGCCAAAAGCCTGGCCACTCAGATCAGTGCGCCCTCCCCCGCCTCTTTGCTGCCGCCGACCCCGGCTACCGCGCTGACCCCCCCCCCCCCCCCCCCCCCCCCCCCCCCCGGCGGGGCCACCCCATCCCAGTCTCAGGTCTGGCGTATGTCCACTCGCAGGGGATTGCCCACCGCGACTTGAAGCCGGGGAATATCTTCCTCCACATGGACCCCGAGACGGGCGGCCTGAATGCGTGCCTCGGGGATTTCGGCCTTGCCCAGTCAGTCGATCGGTCGTCGACCCTGACCTCGACCATCTTCGCCCGCGGGGCCAGCCTCTCCTATGCTCCTCCGGAGGTGCGTCCCCTCTGCGCCTCTCGCTCTTTCCCCAAATGCCCCTGTCTTGTCCCTCTCTCCCTCTTTCGTTCTCCCTCCCCAAACCCCTCTGACGCATACACTCACACTTGCACGCACATCCCTCCCTTTGCCCCGGCTGCTGTATCGACTCCCGGCAATAGGTCCTCGAGCAGCTCCTCACCAAGACTCCCCTGGGTGATGCCTCTCGCATGCAGCTCTTCGCCGCCGATATCTATGCTCTCGGCATCATCCTTTGGGAGCTGGTCTCCACCAAGAAGGCCTGGTCCGGTGAGTGTCTCAGTCTGGCGGCGCGCCTTTCTTTCTCCCTTCTACCGCCCTGCCTTCATCCTCTCCTCGCCCTCTTCCCTCCCCCCGCCCCCCGTCTTACCTCGCGCACTTACACACTTTCTTCGTCCGGCTCCCCGCCCCCGCCCCCGCCCCACCCTTCGTTCCTCCCCAAAGGCTGCCCCCGCGACGACCTGATTCAGGGCGTCCTCCGTGGCGAGAGGCCGCCAACCACTCAGGTCGCCATTCGCTACCCCTGCACCGACCCGACGGTCTTCCTCATCATCGGCCTTGCGACCTCGTGCTGGACACAGAGTTTCAAACAACGGCCGATGGCCTCATCAGTTGAGACACTGGTCAGGCAGTAGGGACATCACGTGAAGCGCCCGGCCATGTTCGCCCAGCCCACAACCCCTCCCGGTTGATGGGCCATCCGGCCCTTCTCCATGAGTCTTTCTCCCTCTCCCCCCCTAGAAGAGAGGGGGTCAGAGAGGATGGGGAG